CCATCTGACTGAGATTCAATACGACAGCCCATTTTTTTCTGCATTGGAGTATATTAATAAATTGTTTATTTACACAACAATTTTATGCAATATTTCTAAAAAAAAATGATATGGATTTGATTGAGGTTATGAGAATCACAAATATTATGATATTAAGATATAGAAATCAAGAGATAATATCGATCAAGAATTTTACCAGATTTGTGTGATGGTGGAGGTGGAAGCAAAATTATATGATTTTGAGATACCTAGAACAACAAATACTTCTAGTATTAACGTGGACTCAATTGAATTACTATATATATAATCGTTATTATTCCACTTTTGAATATAATTTTTAAATCAATCAACGATTTGTGATTCAATGGCTCCATCCAATTTACAAATACTATTTTAACAAGAAATCCGTCTAAGAATTAAATCTTGATATTGAAAATTAAATATTTAGCACATTTTTATTCAGAGGATATAAATTTATCTAGCCACTTAATTTCATAACTTAATTCTTGGTTTGAAAGATTAATATCCTCCAAGAAACACCTGGAATTATTGCATACTTTAAAATTTTGGAGCTTTTCCCAAATATATTAAGATTACTAAATAATTTGTAAAATACTAATTATTACAAACATAAATGAGAGGACCTTTTCTTTATTGCGAAGAATAAAAACTTATCTCAGAAATACTACATCAGGAAATCGATTGAGTGAACTAGCTCTGCTTAATATACATAGAAATTTAATCCCAAATACACTACCTATTGAAAAATTTGCCCAATCGAATAGAAAATTAAATAATCATTTTGAACGATATTTTGATTTATTTTTAAATCATCCCTATCTTTTAATTAATTATAGGTTTATATAGTTATAATATTTTTTAACAATACTATATTCGCTCTTAAATATTTTTTATTTTCCAATATTTATTATTTGGGCTCAAAATGTCATTAAAAATATGATTGGCTTTAATCAATTATATATAATGAAGTTCTAAAATTTTTAATGTTTTAAGAAAACTTATTTAATATAAAAAGATATCCCCTCCCCCCATAGAAAATTCCTGGCTATATGCCTCAAATTCATAATTTATATGCTATCTTATGACAGGGGCGTCGCTAGCCTTTACAATCTCGGGGGCTCAACTAGGAAATATTTTATGAGGGGGGGGGGGCGAATCCCCCATACCCCCTAATTTGAGGCCGGGTTTTATATTAATATATTATACTTTTTTAAAATTTGCTAACTGTGAACAATTATTCTGAATTTCATATTTTGTCATTTATTATATTATGTATACAAAATAAAATAGCGTATAAATAATTAAAATATTGCAAGACATTTCTAAAAATAATATTTTTTAATACAAAGTCTATTTATTACAGTATAGAATATTTTCGATTGCTAATATAAAAAATTTTGCATCTAAAGAATTTCAAGTGTTAAAAAATGTTAATTAATTCATATATGTGCCTTAATTGATAATGGTTTTTGTTGATATATTTGAATTATATTAACTTAAATTTTACCTTACGGACTTATTATATTATTTCTTTCACTTAACTTAATGTTAATCAAATAGTTACATTGATTGTTATTTACTTTTGAAAAGTATATATATAGAATTTATTAGGTTAATAATCAGTTAGTTATATTTTACAATAAATAAATTTAAAAATTTTGTTTCGATATCTTTATGCTTACCACATAATTTTTAGCAGTTTTTAAAAACTACATAATATATTACAATTCTTAACAACTTACAATGACAAAAAGTCATGAAACTAATATAACTCTCTGTTACCATTTTAGACAATGTTTTATAGAATGGACAAATATGGAAAAATTTATAAGTCTAACCAAACAACCATTCTTGAAGAAGAGAATATAAACTGTTATATAATACGAATTAATAAATTAAAATATTATATATTTTGGTTATTAATTAGTAATATGTTTAAATTTTATGTAACAAATTTTAAATTGTGCTTTTCGTTTTATAACTTAACCTTTTAATTTTATATTCTAATTTTAGTTTGTAAAAAATATATAAATACAAGATTAAAAAAGTAATAAAGTGAACATTTTTTATTTTAGAATCAAGTGTTCCAAGCACTCTTCTTCGTAAACGAACAATCCAAATCATAAAACTATATAGTGGTTAGGGCTTCCTCTTAGAAGTAATCGAGAAAATTATTTTGAGATATTAAATTTCTAAAAGATTATCTTCCATTTTTAATGGTATATAAACGAGTACACAGTTGACCATCATTGCTAATCTAAAATATGCAATCATATTCTCTCAGGAGCTGTAGCAATATTCTTAACTTACATGGCCATAGAATAATAGATGCAGGTAAATTTGCAGTCATAGCCATGTCACTCACGATGTTAACTCATATCTGAATTTATTATGTTAGATAAATTGATAAAACAAAAACACTAAAAATCTTTAAAAGAAATTATGCAAATATATTGCCTTAAATTATTTACATGGCAAGGATGCCATATTAGAAATGAAACATTTTGTAACTATAAAATAAGAATCAGAGTGGTATGATGAAAGCAATTAAGATTTTATATATTATAGTCGCATCACCTCTAGTTGGTATATTATATCTTAAAATAATAGTAGTTTGTAATAATATCAAAAATATACTCGCATTAAAAATATACTCGCATTAAAAATTTAACTCAAAACTGTTTTTCAAACAAAAAAAATAGCTTTCCTAAAAACACGTAAAAAAAGTGAAGAAAAGATATCTAATTTATCACATCCATTGTGGAATGAATAATAAGATGTTTAATTTTTAATAATATTTGAATTGAATACAAATTGTTACTTATATTTATTATCAAAAGCATTTATTAGTAAATTTTATTAAAATATTAACTGTAATATATTATATAACTGCCAAATACGTCTGTAAAAGTGGCATTTTACCTAATATTTTATAACCAATTATATATAATAAAGGATTATAAACTATACTACATATTTTTTATAATGAAATCTCTTATACTTATTTGGACCTTGTAAATATTTTTAGGAAGAGGCATGCTAATTAAATCTAAAAATGAATAATATAGTTGATAAGTGATTTTGAAAATTTGAACTCGACTTATTTTACAATATTAAATTTGTTAATTTACAAATAAATGATTATATTTATTTAATTAGGGTTATATATTAATTTGAATAATAAAAGTCAATTATGTTCAACTGTTAATGTTAAATTAATATGTAGTGAGTGATATTGATATTCTATTTTTAGCACAGAATTTGATTATAAGCTAGCATAGTGAAATTATAATTTGTATGTTTTAATCTAATCTAATAATTAAAATAGTATTCATTTAATATTTAGATAATCTTATTAATTTTTAAATAGTAAAATTAAATATATATATTACATATTAGAATTATAAAAGAAATCGATCAGGGGGCGATCAAAAAAAATTATTTTTAGTTCAGGATATTAAGGAGCCATTAAAAAATAATTTTTTAATTTTTCACAGGACTCGAGCCCCTGCACGCCTTTCCCTAGTGAAGCCACTGTCTTATGATATGTTGGTAAAAACCACATCAAGATTTTATTTATAACTTTAATTTTTTTTAAAAAAATGAAGAACTTCGAATGGATAGAAATTTAGCTATTAAAAAATTTTTGAGCCCCTTTTTGAAAAAATGCAATAAATCTTGTTGAAAACATTATTTATTCCGATATCCTCAAAAATAAGGGATGTGACTTTACATAAAATAAATATCAAAAACAAACATCTCAAGTGCTTGAGGATAGAAATTTTCAAAAAAATGTAACCAAATGCAAATACACCTCAATTTTTAAATATAAATACTAAATTAAATGCCTATAAAAAATTTCAAAAAAAGTATATAAATACAAATACTTTGAAAAAAACATTTTTTACAAAGAAAAACTATGAATATGGAGGTCGATTTTTATCAATTTTTTTTTGAATTTAAATATTTTTTTATATTATTAACCATTTTCTATAATTCAAATATATGAATACTTTATTTTCAATTAATAAATGATTATATTTATTTAATTAGGGCTATGAAGTAATTTAAAAAATAGTAATAAATTAAACTTAAACGGTTAATGCTATTGTTATTTTTACTTTATTATTACATATACAGATATTTGTCATATAAAATGACATATTTAATATCTATTTAATATCGAATTTCAAAAACTAACAATTCTATAATATAAAAATAGAATGTATACTTCTAAAATAATAAATTACATATAAATAATAAAAAATTATTATAACTAGATTTTTACCACAGAATTCGATTGCAATTGTTAACATAGTGAAAATAAAATTTATAGTAATCTAATAATTAAAATCGCACAAATTTAATAAAAATCTATATATTCATATTAATTGTTTTAAAAATAATAGCAAATCTATATTTAATATATAATAGAATTCAAAAAAAAATCGTTTAGGTGGCTATTCAAATATTTTATTTAGTTCAAGGGGCTACTAGGGAGCAGTTAAAAAAATTCTGTTTAGGGGGGCTATTTAAATTTTTGGGGAGCCTCAACCCCTGCTTGCACCCCCTCATCTTAGTGACGTTTATTCATATCTTATTTTTGTGTTTTCGTTTTGCTACATTTTTAAATATCAAAAATTTTATTTTAATAAATCACTTTAATAAGATATCTCAAACAAATTAAAATAATCAATATTCATAAAAAATAAGTTTTGATCTGGTAATCCCCAATGGTAATTCCTTGATCAGTAATGGATTAAAAAAATAATATATATATTCTTTAAAAAAATATATATACCCATTGATAATGACGATAATCTTGAATTTACATTAAAATTAATTCATAGCTATATCATTTCCCCAATTATATAAATGGAATAAAAAAGTATTATAACTAATAATGAATGTCATGTATTATCTCTATAAAACATTCTTTGTAATCATAATTCGTGTAAAATGTAATATTATGTCAATCACTTTGGTTAAATTGCATGCATTAACTAATGATCTCATGTGTTCTATCAAAATCTTTCCATTTCAAGTCTCTTCATTTATATATCATATTCATAGGATATTTTGTGTATCTATTCGTCAGTTATATCTTAAAAATTATAATTTAAAATAAATTAAAAATCAATAGAAGAGTTACTAAACTGTTATTTATTGATAAACTTATTATTTCTGATCATTTTGAGTTGCAAATTTTAATTAAGGGCCAAAAAAATAATGATATAGATTTTAAATAAATCAAGTAGCTCAATTAAAATGTTAAGCAACATATTTTAAAAAGTTTTTTTGGGCAGGTCCATTATATGGCTGCTGCAGAACATTTTACCTCCACCCCCTTTTGATGTTAATGGGGTATTCCACACATTTTTCCAGTGATCAATTTATTATATAAGCAATTTAACCAATAAAATCTATGTGATCAGTGGTGTAATCAGGCCAAAAAATTTAGGTGGAGGAGCAATATAAATGGTCAAAAATTAACTTTTTTTCAAATTACCTAAAAAAATGGACTGGAATAAAATTTTATTCTCAATTTTTGTCTATAGGTATTTTTTTGAGGATATATTTATCCAGGTCTTTTGGTTTTAGACATTTTTGTCAATGATTGCTTTTAATTTTTGCATAACATAGTAGTCTGGATCACAATTAGATACCATATCAAAATAAAAAATATTCAAAACAAATATTAAAAATGAATACAAAAATCAAGTTGATTCCTGGATGTAACCAGGATTTTTCATGTTATTGTTAGTTATCACCAAAGGCAGCGTTGAACGAATCGATATTTTCGCTATTTTTTGTTAGGATCAACACTGCCACATGTTATAATGTATATTTATAAATCATCGTTTTTGGAAATCATCTGTGGTCTACTCTATAAGCATATGTAGCCTAGTTGGTAAATGTGTGGAGATCACTAATTCTATATATAGCCCGGGGGAGCCAGACCCACTCTCCAAAAAAAAATTTTAGCCCCCATAAACTTTTCCGGTCCTCCAAATTTTAAAAAATTTTTGTAATATATTATTTTTAAAAAATTTTAAATATTTATTCAAAAAACATGTCTAGTTTGTAAATTTCTTTCTCTCCTGTTTTATTTTTATCCAATATTAAATCATCATTCATCCATATTTTATCACTTTCATGTGTGTTTGTGTTTAACATTATATAGGTGCTTAACCTTGTTTTAAATGTACTCATTTCAATGATAATTATTTTATTTATTATGGTTCAATCACAATATCATTATCTTTTGAAGGTCTCTGATATAGATCTGATCATAAAATCCGGGATTTTCTGAAGCTAATCAAGTGATTACTCAAGGCTTGATATATATATCAAATCTAAGGAAACAGATTGAGACTGTTCCGTAAATATTTATTAAAATAAAAAAGGTTCTTATTAAATTTTTATAAAATTTGGTAATTATTGTGCAGTGTTGCTAAACAGCTTGATTTTGGCCGATTTCTAAAAATAGTCCGATTAAGATCTTAGACAAAATAATATTATCTAAGCCCGATATAATCAGTTATTTAAAACAGCAGTGAATATTTTAGAATTATGAAGAAAATACTGAGATAACAAAAATTTTGGTAAGTAAATACAATAGCTATCTTTTCATCCATGAAACAAAAATTACGCATGCTGCAACTGATGAAAACATAATTTATTCTTTAGGACTGTTTATAGCAATGTTTTTACACCATCCAAAAAGATCCTGAATTAAATAAAATTATGAAATTTATACCACAAAATGCCCAATATACATCACCCCAGATTCAAAATGAAGTAATATCTATTATGGCAGATATGGTGCTTGAATATATTTCAGATAAATATAACAAAATAAGATGTCTTTTATTTGTCTTAAGACTGATGTGATAAATGATGCATAAGGTTGTGAAAACCTTAGCATAATTATTCGCTATATTTTTTCTCTAGAAGTCCAAGAAAATTTAATAGGACAATGTCTTTCTGTTGAAAGCATTACTTATTGCATTTTAAAGCAACTGAATGAGTTAAATATTAATTCAACAAATATAATAAGCCAGGCATATATGGGGCAAACGTTATGTGAGGCCGAAATGAAGGAGTACAAACCCTACTTCAAAAAAAAAATTAATAAAAAAGTTCCTCTTATTGCTATAATCACAAATTACATTTTGTGGTTCAAAATTGGTATGATAATATTGTTATCATTTCTAATTTTTTTAATTTATCCAATGCGTTGTATTTTTTTAGGCGCTTTAATATATCCTGTAAATATGCAGGCCATACTCTAAGAGACTTTTAGACCAGAGGTGGACTGGTCATTTATAAGCATCTCTCATCAATTATGAGAATTGAGGCTATTAGTGAAGTATTATTTTACTTTTCTAATAGAACTCTTATCAGATGTTTCCACTCATGATTCAGTCGAAGTCTCTGGTCTTTTATCTCAATGATTTAATATAAATTACGTTAAATTAGCCATTAAATTTATAAGATATAACAACAATAGATCCACTAAATAAGTATCTACAATCAGAAGGTACTAATCTTACAGTCAGAAGGTACTAATCTAGTGGATGCTAAAAATAAAAATTGTATTGATTCCACTATCAATATATTAAAAAATAAAAAAAGCGATAATTCTTTTGATATGATTAGAATTAAGGCTGAAAAACCTTTAGCAAAATTTAATATCACTCCCCACAAATCATCAAGGAAAACTTCAAGATTTCGAGATCAAATTACAATTTGATTGTGAAAAAGACTCCAAATGGAGTTCTTTAAAAAGGAATTATTATGAAATTGATTACATTGTGTTAATCGTTTTTTAGATAGATTTACACAAGATTACTATAATCTTCTATCATGTTTTAATACATTATCCCCCTTTGACCCTAATTTTTATATTGGATAAGAATCATTACTAAACTTAAATATGGAAACGTTACATCATGAAATGAAAATAGTTAAAGGATTATTAGCTGCAGAAGCTAAAGAAACACATAATTTTAAAAATATCCTAAATATTATGCATAAAAATAATATCATCATGCATTTAAGAATTGTATAAATGCTACTCAGCAGCCATTATCATTAGGGTACCAACAGCTTCTTGTGTGGCCTCTTTCTCTACAATAAAGAGAGTTCTATCGAGCACTAGAGAGTCAATGAAAGATCAACGTAAGCAAAATTTAGTATTGATAGCTTATGGAAAAAAATAACACAAAATATATACTTTAATTCATTTATGTTAAAATTTAAAAATAAAAATCATCGCATTATATTATAGTATTATTTTGTATTCATATTACATTAATATATTTTTAATAAAAATAGCAAAAAATTTATATGCATGCTTGATATTTGTTTTATTTTTAAAAAATAGTGGCCTGCTCAAGTAAGCAGCTGGCCCCCTAGCTGAAAATTCCTGGCTATACGGCCCTGACGGGGGATAATATATAGAATATCGGAGACGATCGCGTGATTCCATATCTTAATGTATAAAAAATGGATTTTATTGAATTTTAAAAAATAATTGGTCGGTTTTTGCAAATTAAATTGTTATTTAGAAAATGCTATACTAGCATTAACCGATTTTTCTGCATCCTCTATATATTTCATAAAATCGCCGTAGGATCAATTAAATTTCATTATCAAAATCTATAAAAAGATGATTAATTATTTTCTGGCAGGTTGGCATATCGTAATAATTTTTTTTTAATGGTTATAATGTTTTTCATCGTATTTGATAGGGCTGTGCCGATATTAAATATTGGATCGGACCGATACCTGTAAAAAACCCTATCCGATGATCTTTTTACTTTTCTTTTTTTTGTTATTTTATTTTATTTTCTAAATATTTTTTTTTAATTTTTTTTTAAAAAAGATTTATAGTATTTAAAAAGTTTTTTTTTATAAAAATAGAAAGGAACACCCAAAGTTTTATTTATTTTAAATCTTTTTAAATAACGCCAATTTTTTTATTTATACTTTAAATATGGTATCTGAATTATGGAAATATCTTAAAAAAGACAAAGATAATTTTGCAAAATGCGTTATCTGCGGAATCATCTGAGTCTATCTTCAGTACGGCAGGAGATATAGATAATCCATATCGTAGAAGCTTATTCCCAAAAAATCTGGAGGCTCTCATATTTATTAAAAAAATCTAATATATTATAATTTTATATATTAAATATTACAATTTTTTTTATAATTCATACCAACATAAAATGGATATATTATTAAATATATATTTTTTTATTAAAGTCTTAATTGTAGAAATAAAAAAATTAAATTCATAATTCGATTTTTTGCATAAAAAATATTGATTTCTTAATTACACTTGGTTCAAACGGGGGTGATTAAAATCAGTATAAATATCGGATCGGTTTTGAAGCAATATCGGAAAATATTGAATCAGATCGAATCGGTGAAAATGGATCGGCACAGCCCTAGTATTTGATATAATTTATCATATAAGTAAAAATATAAATTCCTAAAACATTACATGTATGTCTCAAAAAAGTAATTTAATTTATTAGATGGCATAAAATTTTTGTTTTATATTGATTGCTACATTTCGGTTTAACTATCTTATTTCTATATTTTCAGAATCATATTTTTTAAGAATTTAGAACTGATTGCTATTTTTCGATGAGACAAGCTCTCATAAATTAATCTTCTTGATTTTGTTTGGCTCTAAAATTATAATTAATTACTTTTATTTTATTGGGAAATTTCTCGAATTATAGCTTATAACATTTACAGACGTGATTTTTATAAATTAATTAAATTCGGTTTTATGAAGCGAAAAATTAAAAATATCCATATTTTAAAAAATAATTGTGTCAGCGTGTTTTGTTTTTATCACAAATAAATTTTCCTGTTTTCTAATTTGATAAATTTTAATAAGAATATTAAAACGGCTAAATAAATAAAAAAATATAAAATTTTTTATAGATTTATTTAAGTATATTCTATCAATTGTAGATAGAAATATAATTACCGGCTATTTTCATAGAAACGGCTGGACTTAGTAAGACCCGGCACCCTTCTCATACCAGATTCAATATTCAGAGAATCTCTAATTTTATTATTATTTTTTTTGATAAAAACATTCAGAAATATTATTAATTCATCATCTGTCCGTTACCTGAATTTATCCGGAATTTTTAACCCGACATGCATTCCCTTCACGAATGACGGAAATATAGATTTTGATGCGTTAAACCACAATATACGAATATTTGAAAACATATCATTTTCGGGTTACATATTGTTTGGCACTACAGGAGAATTTCCTTACCTAAATCTTAAAGAAAAAATTAATGTATTAAGAGAATTTAAACATAAAACGTCACCGGAGAAAATTACAATTGTAGGGACTGGTTGTGAATCAACTGATGAAACTATTAAATTAACTAATGTCTTGGCAAAGGAAGGCGCCCATGTCGCCCTAATCCTGCCCCCTTATTATTACAAAGGTTTATCATCCGACGATATTTACTTGGTAAAACATTTCGAAGAGGTGGCAGATAGATGTAATATTCCCGTAATTTTATACAACATGCCCAAATGCACGGGCGTCAATTTATCAATTAACATAATCCTTAAATTGGCGCAGCACCCTAATATAATAGGGCTCAAAGAATGTGATAACAACATAGTTAAATTGTCTCAACTTAATTATGCTTTAAAGTGTAAAAATGATTATGACAAGAATGGATTCAGAGTATTGATCGGTTCGGCCAGTATGCTGTATCCTTCCCTTCGATTAGGTTACACAAGCGGTGGTATATGTGCTATGGCCAACATTTTAGGAAAACAATTGTTAGTTATAAACGATATATTAAGTGATAAAAATTTGTCCCAAGATCCAGAATCGATCGAAAAAGCAAATATCCTTCACAATTTAGTCATGACCACCAATGAATTTCTTGGCCGTTCCGGTGTACCAGGCTTAAAAGTTGCGATGACCCTTCTCGGCTACAGAGGAGGTTTTCCTCGCCCTCCTTTGTTACCTTGTTCTAGTCAAACAATTGATGAGATAAAAACATTTTTGACTAGAATTGGAATAATTGGCGAAGTTAATGTAAATTCAAAATTACAAAGTACATTTTAAAAAAAGCATATTCTTTGCACATATGATGAAATATATTATATATATATCTAATGCATAATTTAAAATATTTTTAATAAATCGTCATTTAATTATGCTTATTAAATCTGGGCCAAAGCAGGGAAGGATATTCCAGCTATATTAGGATCTGCGTGTAACCTTGGTCATAATCTAACAATCTAGAATCATTAAACAAGAAATAGAATGGCAAATACTTTTTTAGGCTATAAGTCGCATAGAAACTCGCACGACCGGTTAGGGTCAATTTACATCTTAAATTTTAGTTAATATATAGAGAAAGATTAAAATAAGCTTTATTAAAATCTGTTATAAAAAAAATTATATTAACTATCCCCCCTCCCCCCCCCTATTCTACTCTAAACCCCTATCAATTTTTGCAAGTTAATAACCCTTTCCTCTATTTTTCCTATTTCCAGAAATAAATAATATGTTCAGCATGTCTGTTAGGATTATTAGGGTAAAATTTAATTTAAAAAAATATTATTTACACCCACCAAATTATGAAATTTGCTTCTGAAAAAAAGTTATAGCTTGAACTGCATTAAGTCATGGGGATGTGGATAGTTTTCCCGAGTCAGCTGGCATGTTATATTTCCACCCGAATATAATGCTATGACGACGAATAAGATATAGAGAACAATTTAGTAGACGATTCTAATTTTCCTGATACGGAAAGACTGAGATAATTGTAGTAATTATAATTAGTCTATTGAAGCGATTAAAAGGCGCTTAATCATTAAATCGGAAAAAATTTTCACTTAGCTTTATTTTCTATGATGATCCATTCTTTTATAGTTGACCAATATTACATTTATTCAAAGAAAATAATAGATATATTATTCCAATATTATGCCATTTCCAGATAACGTTTTTCCAAAGCGGCTTTGAGGCATGTTTCCACGCTAGTAAATTGCCTTTGAGACCATTTACGATCAAGTTTTTTTTGAAATATTATATCATACAAAAATATTAATTTGATAAATTAATCTTTTATTTGGGAATAAAAATAAATGGCTGGAAACATACCTTAAAAACGTCTTTGAAAAACGTTGACCTTAAAAAAATTTATAGAAATTTTCGTGGGTATCACAGTTTTTAATAAGAAAGAATATTCCGGTAGACCTGATCTCAGAGTTGGGCAGTACCGCGAATACTTGTATCTAAGATACAAGATCCTTTTGTATCATGTACTCAGTATCTTTTTGACATTTCTAATAAATCTTGTATCTTTTTCATATTCTTGACAAAAGATACAGATTCTTTTTAATATTCATGTTTAAAATTTTACATATCACAGTATATATTTTATTTTCTTCGGGAATCTTGAATTAATTTGTTTATTTTTTTCCACCATATTTTAATATATTGACAGCCAAAATTATTTGGAAAATTTACAAATCATATTAAGGTAGAAAGATAAAAAAAATAACAACACCAAAACGAAATATGTACAGATTATATTTTATATATAAATATAACTCGATAGAATATCATTACCAATTTTATGTAATATTTTTAATTTTTGGATAATTAACACTCATGGTAGTGAAATTTAAATTATAGAAATAAGTTCCCCTGAATCATATAATCTTAAAATTTTATATGGTTTTTAAATATAAGTTAAAAAAGACAATTTACAGGCTAAATGTAAAACCTGTATAATCAAAAAAATAATAAAGGGTTAAACACAAATTTTGTTAAACATATTATAGTATATTATTTATGTGTAGTTAAAAGGGGCATAGGTTATCTTAAAAATTCAAGTTTACAATATTGTCTACCTTTAAAAACTGCCCAAGATGGTATGGGTAAAAGATTTTAAGAAAATATTTTCCTATGATTTGAATATAATGTGGCTTTTTTGACATCAATATCACATCCATATTTTAAGAACTTATGGATTGAGTTGGATAATAAAAAAATTTCAAAATATATTAATAAAAGAAGTCCTAAATGTAGTACCAGAGTAAATAATAAAGTTCAAACTATAAAACCAATGATTAACATCTAATAAAGAAAATGATAATTATTTTTCTTTTGGTGAAACAAATGGTGCTGAGTTCAATAATACAAATAACAATGGCTGGAGATTTTAAATTATATTAAGTCGAAATATATTATAAATGCTTAATTTTTATCCTTCTATTAAGGAAATTTTTTATACATATAATTCATCAGCTCTAATTGAAAGGTTATTTAGTTTTGGTAAAAATGTTAAATACGCCGAAACGACAAAGGTCTAATGATAAATTATTTGAAAAATTTGATTATCTTATAATGATTGTATTTTAATTACTCTTTTACAAATTAATATTTCAACTCCAATTAAAAATACTAGTCTCCCTTCTCAATCTATGCTATGAATGGCTAATATTAAAATGCCTGATTATTATAATTAACTCATCATTAAATGTTTTATTAATTATTGTAAATATTCATTCTTATTATATGTGTATGTTATGTTCTTCACAAATATATAGTAAAAACTGTTTTATAAGCTATTCTGATTTAATTGGTAATGATAATTTAAAAGTATCTTGTATCTTTTTGATATTTTGAAAAAGATACTAGTATCTGTATCTAAGATTCATTTTTTCACAAAGAATCTGTATCTGTTTTTAGATTCTTTTTCAAGAGGACCTGCCCAACTCTGCCTGATCTATTCCTCTTATTCGAATATCCTGTCTCATACGAAATGTAAAAAATGAAGTGAAGTAATTCTAGCTTCTCTGACGCCCTATAAAGACAAAGAGGATTTGCCACCTGGAAAAGTAGATTTATCATAGATTGTAGTGTTGTTAAAACGCCACGAGTCGCGACCCCGACCCAAAGCTCGGGTCGTTTTATTCGACTCCGACTCAATGTTTGGGTCGTTTTTTTCGACTTCGACCCAAAATATGGGTCGTTTTTTTCGACTCCGACCCAAGTCCAAGCCAAAAAAAACGACCTCGACCCAAAATATGGGTCGTTTTTTACGACTCCGACTAAAAATTTGGGTCGTTTTTTTCGACTTCGACCCAAAATATGGGTCGTTTTTTACGACTCCGACTAAAAATTTGGGTCGTTTTTTTCGACTTCGACCCAAAATATGGGTCGTTTTTTACGACTCAAACTTGAAGTTTGGGTCATATTTTTCGACTCAAACTTGAAGTTTGGGTCGTATTTTTCGACTCAAACTTGAAGTTTGGGTCGTATTTTTCGACTCAAACTTGAAGTTTGGGTCGTATTTTCGACTCCAACTCAAAGTTTGGGTCGTTTTTCTGACTCAGACTCAAACATCGGGTCGTTTTATTCAATCCGACCCAAAATATGGATCTTTTTTTTTAAAGTCGACTTAAAGTTAGGGTTGCTTTTTTTCACCCTTAACCCAATATCTAGATCATTTTTTTTGACCAAAAGTCAAATAACATTTAGTATATATTAATATTATAGGCGGGAAAGTTACTTAAAGCTTCTTTAAATTATAATACTCTGGATTAACTATTCATCATAGTTATTTTTTTAAATTTTTAAGTGAAAATGCACCATAGAAAAGAGCCATTTGTTATGATGGTTATTTTTGAACTTTTTTAAATGAAATAGATAAAAATATATATTGTAGACATGTTAAATCAAAATTTCAGTGAAGATGTACCATAGATAAGTGACAATTGTCATAATCGCCATTTTTGAGCCTTTTTGAGTTTTTTTAAAGGAAATAGCTAAAAATATATATTCTAAACATGTTAAATTAAAAATTCAGTGAGGATGTATCATAGATAGGTGACAATTGTCATAATCGCTATTTTTGAACTTTTTCAAATTTTTTTAAAGGAAATAGCTAAAAATATATATTCTAAACATGTTAAATTAAAAATTCAGTGAGGATGTATCATAGGTAGGTGACAATTGTCATAATCGTTATTTTTGAACTTTTTTCAATTTTTTTAAAGGAAATAGCTAAAAATATATATTCTAAACATGTTAAATTAAAAATTCAGTGAGGATGTATCATAGATAGGTGGCAATTGTCATAATCGCTATTTTTGAACTTTTTCAAATTTTTTTAAAGGAAATAGCTAAAAATATATATTCTAAACATGTTAAATTAAAAATTCAGTGAGGATGTATCATAGGTAGGTGACAATTGTCATAATCGTTATTTTTGAACTTTTTTCAATTTTTTTAAAGGAAATATCTAAAAATATATATTCTAAACATGTTAAATTAAAAATTCAGTGAGGAAGTATCATATATAGGTGACAATTGTCATAATCGCTATTTTTGAAATTTTTCAAATTTTTTTAAAGGAAATATCTAAAAATATATATTCTAAACATGTTAAATTAAAAATTCAGTGATGATGTATCATAGATAGGTGACAATTGTCATAATCGCTATTTTTGAACTTTTTCAAATTTTTTTAAAGGAAATAGCTAAAATTATATATTTTAAACATGTTAAATTAAAAATTCAGTGATGATGTTTCATAGGTAGGTGACAATTGTCATAATCGCTATTTTTGAATTTTTTCAAATTTTTTTAAAGGAAATAGCTAAAAATATATATTCTAAACATGTTAAATTCAAAATTCAGTGAGGATGTATCATATATAGGTGACAATTGTCATAATCGCTATTTTTGAACTTTTTCAAATTTTTTTAAAGGAAATATCTAAAAATATATATTCTAAACATGTTAAATTAAAAATTCAGTGAAGATATATCATAGATAGGTGACAATTGTCATAATCGCTATTTTTGAACTTTTTCAAATTTTTTTAAAGGAAATATCTAAAAATATATATTCTAAACATGTTAAATAAAAAATTCAGTGATGATGTATTATAGATAGGTGACAATTGTCATAATCGCTATTTTTGAACTTTTTCAAATTTTTTTAAAGGAAATAGCTAAAATTATATATTTTAAACATGTTAAATTAAAAATTCAGTGATGATGTTTCATAGGTAGGTGACAATTGTCATAATCGCTATTTTTGAATTTTTTCAAATTTTTTTAAAGGAAATAGCTAAAAATATATATTCTAAACATGTTAAATTAAAAATTCAGTGAGGATGTATCATATATAGGTGACAATTGTCATAATCGCTATTTTTGAACTTTTTCAAATTTTTTTAAAGGAAATATCTAAAAATATATATTCTAAACATGTTAAATTAAAAATTCAGTGAAGATTTATCATAGATAGGTGACAATTGTCATAATCGCTATTTTTGAACTTTTTCAAATTTTTTTAAAGGAAATATCTGAAAATATATATACTAAACATGTTAAATTAAAGATTCAGTGATGATATATCATAGATAGGTGACAATTGTCATAATCGCTATTTTTGAACTTTTTCAAATTTTTTTAAAGGAAATAGCTAAAATTATATATTCTAAACATGTTAAATTAAAAATTCAGTGAGGATGTATCATAGATAGGTAACAATTGTCTTAATTGCTATTTTTGAACTTTTTCAAATTTTTTGAAAGGAAATAGCTAAAAATATATATTCTAAACATGTTAAATTAAAAATTTAAGAGGATGTATCATAGATAGGTGACAATTGTCATAATCGTTATTTTTAAACTTTTTCCAATTTTTTTAAAGCAAATAACTAAAAATATATATCCTAAACATGTTAAATTAAAATATCAGTGAGGAAGTATCATAGATAAGGGACAAAAAATGTTATTATATATACGAGTAGTAAGGTACATAATAATTTTTGAGTGATAAAATGAGATGCTAATATATTTCTTGTAATTTTAATTTATAAAAAAATTCTTAAATATGTTATTGTCATAGACTGGGTCAGAAAATCAACTATCACATAAACTCATCTATGTTTTATTCATATTATATTTTTAAGTTTAAGGATATTAAAATATTTCCTCTTTGAAGTTTCTAGTTAGGATAAAATTTACTTGGCACATCTTACAATGATATTTATACCTTGTTTTTTTTCGAGAATAAATTTTATGCGATATTTCATGAAGGAAATTACATATCATTGTACAGAGAAATAACTTTGTATATATTATCTGCACCAATATCTTTTATATCAATCTCTATCGATGACATTTTAAATTATATTGGAAAACTAGATTGTGTAGATTTATAATTATTAATTTAAAGGATTAAGATTTTGGAATTAATTATAAATATATCTTAATAATTTTTATATGCATTTAATATTTAAAATCTCTCGTTATAAGCCTATTTAGCAAGAAAAATATTGACTAATCCTGAAATTACGATAATAGATATCTATACCTTTATATAATCTATGAGAAAAATTGCTCTCATAATATTCTTCTTAATAAAATAGTGAATAATTAACGCCTGAAAAAAAGTATAGCGCTTTATAACATGGTTCAAAGTTAATCCCAGTATCAATTTTATTTTTAATTTTTCTCAAGTGTTCAAAATTCTAAATCTTAATATCAAAAACTATTTTAGTTATCAATTTAGTCAAATAATATTAAAACACTAATATTCTCCAGTATTCATAAAAAACAACAGCCTGAAACAAGAATACTAAGCTCAAATCATCTTAAATATTTGATACATTTATAGTTTAAATATTTTTATTTAAATTATATATATTTATTAATGTACAAAAAATTTAATTTAACAATATATATAGATATAAAAATTATGTATAAAATTTATTATTCATGATATTGATATCCCATGAATCAAACATAAACACTGTTTAAGTGTTTCGGAGGCCATGCGATTTCTTTTCTTTGTTACGGTGTCCACCCCTCTTGAGAAGACACGCTCGCTCTCAACGGATGTACTTTGCTGCGACAAAAAATCTTTAGCCATCATGCAAAGGTACGGAAAACGCTCAGAATTACAGCTCCACCAATCCAACACTGTAGTCGTTGCTGAGACTACTGGATCAGCTAGGTATTCGGCGATCTCGTTCACCATTGGAACTAACGAGGCTTTCCTAAAAATATAAAATAAATTATTAAAATTAAATATATCAACTTTGAGAAAATTTAAAATAGTTATAGAATATTAAATATATACCTTCTCAGACTATTTAAGATAGTTATTGACATCATTTCACAATTATCGTCTTTTTCTGATATTTCTGGCGATATATTACACCGGTATTTACCATATAAAGCAATCAATTTTTCATAATAACATTCTTTGTTCATCCATAAAGGTATGAATGTTTTCTTGATACGTGGATCAAGAAAACTACACACATATATTTCGAAATTGTCCATAATATTGATATATTTTTGGCATTTAGCCAACATAGATCTAGACGATTCTACTATAACATTATTATTACTGGTTTCAATACTTGTTACCAGTAATATTTGAATCGTATCTAAATATAGTGCATACATCCCTATTGTAGATGTATTCGTGCTTATCTCGCACGTTATTTTATAAAAAGGATATAAAAAATCCTCTATATCTTTTAACATTCTACTCTCATCTGTATTAATGTAAAAATTTTCATTGATACATCTTTTCCCCATTTTAACAATAGTTTCTAAATTCTATAAATCAAACAGTAAAAAAATTAAATATTAATATTAATACCTTATTAATTTTACTAAGCATGAGATACTTTGAATTCCACCTAGTTGACACATCTAATGGAATTTTGCAATTACAAATATCAACAAAATCCTGCATCAAGGAAGGACTTTTATGAATTTTTTTCACCAACATCTCAACTTTTTCTAAATCTGTTGAGATTGTTGGCAGTCCTTCTTGTACAATCAAATTAATAATGTGGGCAAGACATC